GGGGGGGGGAATGCGCGGTTAGCGTGGCCATGGCGCGGCAGTCTCTCGCGCGTGCTTGCGTCAGGCTGGCGCAGCCAGCGATGGCGTCGTAGCGAACGGCGCCGAATCGTTGCGATTGCGTCCGTTTCGGGGCCGTTCGCGCGCGCTTCGTCACTCGAATCGCTCGAGCTTTCTCCAGCGCGTTTTGCGCGCGCCGGCCCTGGCGCCAACGCTGCCACTCGCCGCGATGAACATGCGGCGGTCCAATGACGTTGTACCCCATTGTTGCGGAGGTCCACGTCGAACCAAACACGTCCATTCAAGCACGTTATGACTTGATGCCATTAGTACTGTCGCATTCGTTGTCGCCAACAGTTCCCTCTTCTTCACGCTATTGGTATGTCTTCCCAGGTCTGCGTAGGCCCAACCCCTGATCCTCTTCCCCCTGCCCTTGCCCTCCTTATTCTTCCTTTTCTCAATCCTCATCGGTGGTCCTTCCTCCTTCGTATTCCTGCCTTACGTTGTCTTGCCTCTAGCCTCCCTCATCCGCCCTCCTTCCGCTTCTCCCCCCCTCCTTATTTCCTTCGTCGTCTTCCCGTTTTTTTCCGCGCCCTCCTTGCCGTTCCTCCCGGCCATCGCTCCAGGCGGTCTTCCCCTTCCTGCAGCCACGCTCCTCCGTCGCGTTTCTCCTGTTTCCCATCGCGCCCCTCCTTCCTGCGAGGTCCCATTAGGCCATGTTGGGGCCCCTGGGGTGAGGGCCCGCGGTTGGGATGCAACTCAGCGGCGGCGGGGCCGCGGCGGGGCCGCGGCGGGGGTTCGGCTGGGATTTTGTTGGCGGCGTTTTTTAAGAGGGGTGGCAACTTTTTCGGGGGGGCGGCGGCTGGGCCGCGGCGGGGCCGCGGCGGGGATTTGGCTATGATGTTGCCCGGCGGCGGCCGGGGCTCGGCTGGGATGGTTGCCGGGCGGGGTGCCCGCGGGCCTCAGGGCCGCGTCCGCAGCGAAGTTGTGGATCGCGACTTGCGTCGGTCAGGGCGCCTTCGGCTTCCTAATGCTCGCACTCGGCGCCCTCGTGTCGTAGCGGGCTGCGTGTCCGGCGTACTTTACATTGGAACTTCGCGTATGTTTGACACTTGTGCTTCGGCTTCACAGTCATTCTGCACTGTGGCGGCATCGTCGTTTCGACATGTTCTGTCTGCTTCGCAGTCGTGCTGCGCAGTGCGGATGTGTTCCTGTTGCGACGCGCCCCTGGTCTGCCTCGCAGTCGCGCTGCGCTGCGTGGCGGCGGTTTCGCGTTGACGCGCGTGCGTGTTTTCTGCTTTACAATCGCGCTGCGCTGCGCGGCGATATCTTTGTTTCGACGCGCGGGTCCGTTTTTTTCCACGGGCGTGCGCGTGTCTGCGGCTATTCCATTGCAGTGGCAACGCCCCCGTTTGTCGCGCCCGGGGGGGTGCGTTGCCCCCCCCTTCGTTCGACGCGGCCGGCTTTCATTCGCCGCGGTCGCCCCGTTGCGCGGCGCAGCGTAGCGCTGCGTCATTTTAAACTTTGCCGCGCCACAGCACGCGGCGAAGCGCTTCGCCCCCGCCCTTCTGCCCAGTTCGCTCGCGGCGCGGCAATCAGCGCCGCGCGGCAAGCGTCGCCCTGCGAGAGCGAATTATTGAGTTGGGCAGTGTCCGAGACCGCCCGGCTCTGTTCCTCTGCCACCCCCCATTTCTCCTCCCGTCCAACCGTCTCCCTCCAGTCCCGCTCCTTGTCCACTCCTCCAGCTGCCTCGACGCTTCGCCGCCGCTGCGCCGCTGCCCTTCTCCGCGAGGATGCTGTCTTCGGGGTCCTCTCTCGCTTCGGGGGGGCTGTCCCGCGGCGGGGTTGCGGCCGTGCGAGCGCCGTGCCACTCCCGGGTTTTCTCTTGGAGGGGGGTCCTTTCGACGTGCGCTCGCCTGGGCCTCCTCGCCTGGGGCGCGGGCCGCCGGCGCCCCCGCGGAAGGCGCTCCGGAAATTCGACGAGAAAGCGAAGTCCTCCGGGGATGAGGCCGGGCAGCTCGCCGCGGAGCTTGGCTTCGTGCTGCATCCCGCCTGGGCGCCGCGGCGCGCAGCTAGGGGCCCGCGGGGTTGTCCTAACGGTCTGGCCCGCGGGGTTGTCCCGACGGCCTGCCCCCGCGGGCCCGCGCCCCAGCGGCCCGCGGGGTCGCCCCAAACGCATGCCCCGCGGGGCTGCCCCATAGTCTTCGCGAACCAGCCGTCGGCGAACGCTCGCGCGCTGGCCGAGGCGGCGACTGGGCGAAGCGGGGGAACACATGGCGAAGAAGCAGGGGGAGGATGAGGACGGGGAAGAGGCAGGGAGAGGGCGACGATGAGGAGGAGGTGGAGAAGGAGGAGGAGGAAAGGGCCAAGGGCAAGCCAAACAGATGCCCATGCGGGGTCCTTCCGTCGGAGTCATTTGTTTTGGCGTCATACATTATGCCATCATCATTACAATCATCGTGACCCAGCGTCTTCAGGCCTGGAAGGGGGATAACCTCGGGGG